TAAGGGGGGGGCCCCTGTCCTGCCCACCTGGTGCATGCACCTGGGATTGTGGGGAGAAGCAGAGGGGCCACCCTTGCCTTTGTCTTGGGTCCCTGAGTCTCTGTGGGGGCTTCGGCGGGGGCAGTGCTGTGCTCTGCAGTCTCTGGGGGCAGCGTCTGTGCTGCGGGTGTGACCCGGTGCTGGCTGTGCTGCAGGTGTGCCCCGGTGCTGGCTGTGCTGCGGGTGTGCCCCGGTGCTGGCTGTGCTGTGGGTGTGCCCCGGTGCTGGCTGTGCTGTGGGTGTGACCCGGTGCTGGCTGTGCTGCGGGTGTGCCCCGGTGCTGGCTGTGCTGTGGGTGTGACCTGGTGCTGGCTGTCCTTGAGTGGAGTCGTTTGGCGTCACGTCTTCACCAAGGATGCTGGCTGTGCGTCCCCTGTGCTGGGGCAAGACGCCTTCCGCTGGGGGCACCTGTGTGGTTTCTGCCCAACGTGGCCACTGTTCTCTGAGGTCCCGAGCGAGGACCTGTGGGTGCAGCAGAGGGGCAAGTGCTCAGGGATCTCGTGCCAAGCTCTGACGGGGCCGTGGCGTGACCAAGACAGGCTGCATGGGCTGGTGCTCACACGCCGCCATTCACTCTCCCACTTGGAGGGCCTGAGGTGTTTTGCTCAGGGTCTGCGGGAGTCCCCGAGAACGCTCGCGGGTGTGTGGTGCTCCGTGCCGGGGTCCCCCTCTGCTCCACCAGAGATCAGCCCTGGACGGCTGCGGCTGCAGGAGGGTCCGGTGGTTGCTGCGGAGTTTAGCGCTCGCCCCTGCTTCTCTCTTCCAGGGCTGAGGGGCTGCTTCCCCTCTAGGGTCCAGCACGGGCGGGGCGGGGGCTACCAAACGCAGAAGGGGCGTCCGGGACGAGGTGCTGGCGTGCTCTGGCCCTCCTGCTCCCCCGTGTCCTCACCCCTCGGGGTCCCTGGTGAGGCTGGCGCGGCCCCTGCAGCCGTGGGTCTCGGCGACATTCTGCCGGGTCTTTCTCTACGTCACCATTCGCTCCAATGATAACTAATCGGACACGTACCGCAACGTCACGGCATCTGATTTTCTACGGATTTTAACAGGGCTGCTGGTGTTTTCGGCAGAGATTGCCCAAAACTAGCATCCGTCGCTGCTTCAAAATGCTGAGTGTACTTCCCCGTGTGGGACGACTTCGACGGCAGATGTTTTAAAACCTGCTTAATTGTTGGGTTCATAAAACCCAGCAGCGGAGGAGTGGCAGCCTTGCTCTCTGTAGCCCTGGAGTAGACAGAGGCAGGAGGACCCAGAGCGGGTTCTCCGGAGAATCCACACCCCGGCTCCAACCCCGGTCCTGCTGTCCTGGCCAACGGTAAATTCACCAGAAACACTTGGGCCGCCTCTCTGCCAGGCCTGGGCACCCAGGGGGACACAGAGGGTCCGGTCAGGAGCTGCCCCTCCCTTGGTGAGCCTGCCTTTTCTTGGGGAACACAGGACTCCCCACTCAATGAGGAAGGCCGAGTGGCAGCTGGTCCCAGAGAATGCCGGGCAGGGCTGGCCCGCTCCTACCTGAGGCCCCTGGCATCCTGGGGTCGGGAGATCTGAGGCCCAAGAGCCACAGGTGGCTGTGGAGAGGGGCTTGGCGGGAAGGCAGCCCGTGCCTGGGATGGGGGAGGGTAAACGCCGAGGCGGGGGAACGTGGGGGCGTCTGGGAGGGGTGAGCTCTGTGAAGCACCTGATCTCTGAGCCATGTGGCCCTTTGGGAGGTTTTGGGGCTTGTGGGATGTTGGCTTCTGGGCCTTTTTCAGAGAGAAAAGAAAAACATACTTAAAGAAGTTGAGGAGCCTCAGGGCCTCCCTTGGCAGCCCTCGCCCCATGCTGGTGAGACCCCAGGGTTCCGAGGGGAAGGGGCTAGAGGGTCTGCCCGAGTGGAAGCTGCCGCTGGAGGGAGCCAAGCAGAGCAGGGGCTGTCCATGTCCGTGGGGTGCCCGCGTCCGCGGGGTCCCTGATCCCCTGGCCGAGGGATGCAGCCGGCTCTGGTGCGTCCCAAGAACGTCAGCTGTGGGCTGTTCCTTCACACGTGAAAGCAAACGTGCCGATCACTCCCTTGGCGAAGGACTGGGAGCCATCCCTAGGCCAGACCACGGGGGCGAGGGTACCCGGAGGCTGGCGGCCACCGCCGGGGCAGCACAAAGAGGAGGGGACGCTGCTGTGAGCCCCGGCGTCCTCCCGACGGGCAGCGCAGGACGGGTTTGAGGAGCGTGGGGTGTGCAGGAGGAGATGGTGGCCCTGCGTCCGGCCGCTGGGTGTCTGCTCACAGCTCACGCCCAGGACCGTGACAGCTGCGACGCCAAGCCTGACGCATCATCCAAGGCTGAGGTGCCTCCCGCGGGGTCCTGCTGCCGGAGCTCTGAGGCTTTTCGGGTGAAATGACCAGTTTGTTTGCTCTGTTGATGGGCAAATGCCAGACCTCCCAGCTCTGATGGGAAAGAATTGCAGCTGGGACTCAGCCCCCGGCTGATCTGGCCTCTTTGGCTTTGCCTCCCAGAGGTCCGGCCATGCCCAGTGTGGACCAGAATTTCCTCCGAAGCCATGAGGCCATCTGGGGACTGTGCTGGGACAGCCCCGCAGGACGGGGCAGTTTGATGCAAGGGCAGAGTCTGTTTGTTTGGGGGAAATTTCTCCAAGTCTGAGCAGAAATCAAAGAGCATTCACAGGAGTCATGGCGCGAAACAGCGGGAGGAAGGCCGCACCCTTCAGGAAGGCAGCCCACCCCACACCGGCGCCTGGTGGCTACCCTGAGACAGGATTTGGGAGCGACCCGTCCGAGGGCGACAGCATCCGGGGTGCCCTTCCTGGGCCCCACCGTGGCGGCGGAGGGCTGAGGGCCAGATTCAACGGGAGTGGAGTCCACACTCGTCAAATCTGCTACTGCACGAGGACTATTGATGGGTGATAACGGGATAAGTTGGTGCCGTCCTCACTCCAGGGCCGGGGGGCTGGGCTCTGGAAGCCTTGGGTCTGCCCTGCGCCCTCGGTGCTCCCCAAGTAAGGAGGAAAGACGTTTGCAGCCTGTGGGCTGGTGGTCTGGAAGCCACTTCATTGTGGGACACGAGGCTGAGGAGGCCGGGACCCAGCCCCGACTTACAGGGGACTTTGGGGTGGTGAACCTGCAGTGTGGCACAGATCTTTCTGGAGGGCACTGTGGCAAAGACAGCCAGGGAAGGCAGCTATGGACGAGTCAGAGCAGGCCTGGCAGAGGCTGGGGTGGGGGTCATCCACAGGGGCCTTGGAGGGTGGGCATGGTGCTGGGTGACTGTCCTGGCTCCTGAGGGACTTGAGCTTCTGTCCCTGCAGCATCAGGGGGGAGACAGAGGCCAGAGGACAGGCAGCTGGCACAGACCCTGGTGTGCAGCCTCTGCTTGCCAACCTGATGGGCAGGGAACAAGTGCCGTCATCTCGTGCTGCCCGGGACAGCCTGTCCTCGGGGGGATGCTGACACACACACAGGGGCGGGGAGACACTCTCCCCTATCTGTCACAGCTCCTGATAAATGGGGGCTGCAGGGAGACTCATTTTACAAAAGGGAACTTGCTCCCGAGTCACTGAAGGTGACGGGAGTGGGGGACGCAGGGGCCGGGGAGGGTCGTGAGTTTGCACGCTGGGCCTCTGTCCTCACACTCTACCTTGGGCTGGGAACTGCCCCTCGGTGAGAGGCGGGCAGGGCTGCAGGTCTGGGTCAGGGGCCCAGGGTCAGGCCAAGAAGGCCCTATCAGGCTGTCCTCCCGCCACCAGGCAAAGTGGGCATTCCTGGAATCTTCCCACCCTGCCCACCCAGAGACATCACGTGGGGTCAGCGTCCATCCCGTCCCACCCAAGCCACGGCAAGCCGGGCAGGAGGGGCCCTGGGTGGGCTGCCCCATGGTCAGCCAGAGCCCAAGGCCGACTGGGAGGGTCTGCCCTGCCTCTGCTACAGCTACGAGCCTGGTCTGGATGGAATCTGCAGGGGAATAAGGGCCTCAAACCCACAAGCCCCCGTGCCCACATATAGGAGCCCCCTGGGGCGAGGCCTGGTGGTCTGAGCTATGTCCCACGGCTAAGGCTAGTGCTGGGGGCAGTGGGCGCTTGGGGAAACCGGGGCTGTGGAGGAATCAGGGACAGTAAGAGGCAGGGGGCGGTGGGTGCAATCCCAGAGGCCACCTGGTGCCCCGACCCTCCCCAGACTCCTGAGGGTCCTGATGGGGGATCCCGGGCCGAGCAGAGGGTGTTGAGCTGCATGTGAGTGGGTGTGTGTGTCTGCATGTCTGAGCACGCATGCGTGTTGGGGTGTGTGGCCCGTCACACCAGTCCCCGCAGAGCTGGAGGGAAACTCTGTGGGCGGCGGCCCTCCAGGAGGCGGGTGAAGGGCCTGATGCCGGCCGCGAAGCCCCATCTCCATCTGGATGTCCGCCGGGTGGAGCCGCCTTCTTCACCGATGCTGCTGTTCCTCGGATCTGGGAGCCAAATGCTTTGCTAGAGCTGGTAAAATGGAACCAAATCGACTGTCCAATGGATTTGGTCCCCT